TCCTCGCGGTCGCGCCACTTCATCCACTCGTTGCCCCACGTCTTCGCCCGGGTGCCAACATCTGCGAGGCAAGAGCAACACCAAGCAATGAGTACTGAAAAACTGCGCAGCAGAACGGAGCCCCTCTCGAATATCCGAATAAGGACGTGGCCCCCACAACCGGCCCGTGCCAACTTGCCCACAGGAGCTCTGTAGACCACGCAAACAGCACAACGTGACAGAAGCCTATCGGAGCAGCCCTCTTTAACGACCCGCTGCCCGTCATAACGCACGTGGACGACGATGTGCTCTCCTCCCTGTCTCCTCGCCCCCCCTCTGTTACGTTTCACCCCGTCCCGGCAATCCGCGCGTAGTCCGAGTTATTGCGCGTGCACCGGGGGCTTAACCGCAAGAAAGTTCCACGCCCACGCGACGACGACGACGCGGCAGCGACGACAACGACACCGACGTCGGTGGAGGGATTGCTGCCCCCAGGGGGCGGGCGGAAACACCCTCAGGCGAGACACCGACGACGTCGACAACAACGGCGACGACACGGACGATGACGGCGACGACGACGACGACAACGACGACGACAGCGACGACGACGACGGCGACGACGACGACGACGAGAAAGTCGTTCGGGCCCCTCAGTTCTCGGTCGGAGGTGAATCGTTCGGGCCCCTCAATTCTCGGTCGGGGGTGAGTCGTTCGGGCCCCTCAATTCTTGGTCGGAGGAGAATCGCTCGGGCCCCAGAGTTTTCGATCGGAGCTCGGTTCTCGGTCGGGGGTGAATCGTTCGGGCCCCTTAAGTCTCGGTCAGAAGTGAATCGTTCGGGCCCCTCAATCCTCGGTCGGGGGTGAGTCGTTCGGGCCCCTCTGCGCTCGGTCGGAGGTGAGTCGTTCGGGCCCCACAATTCTCGGTCGGAGCTCGGTTCTCGGTCGGAAGTGCGTCGTTCGGGCCCCTCAGTTCACGGTCGGAGGAGAGTCATTCGGACCCTTCAGTTCTCGGTCGGGGGTGAGCAGTTCGGGCCCCTCAGTTTTCATTCGGAGGTGAGTCGTTCGGGCCCCTCAATTCTCGGTCGGAGCTCGGTTCTCGGTCGGAAGTGAATCGTTCAGGCCCCACAATTCTTGGTCGGAGGTGAGTCGTTCGGGCCCCTATGTGCTCGGTCGGGGGCGAGTCGTTCGGGCCCCTCAGTTCTCGGTCGGAGGTGAATCGTTCAGGCCCCACAATTCTTGGTCGGAGCTCGGTTCTCGGTCGGAGGTGCGTCGCTCGGGCCCCTCAATTCGCGGTCGGAGGCGACTCGTTCGGGCCCCTTCAGTTTTCTATGGGGGGTGAAACGTTCGGGCCCCTCAGTTCTCGGTCGGCGGTGAATCGCTCGGGCCCCGCAGTTCGCGCGGGGGGGGCAGACGCCCCCTCGAAACAGATCGACGACGACGACGAGGACCCCGACAATGACGACGACAACGACGACGACGACGACGATGGGAACGACGACGACAGAACGCCGACGATCACGACGACGACGACGACGACGACGACGACCGCATCGACAACGACGACGACGACGAGGACGGGGGGGACGACGACGACGACGACGGCGAGAAGATTTCTGCCCCCAGGGGATGGGATGAACCCCCCTCCAAAAAGAACGACGACGACGACGACAGCAACGACAGCGACGACGCCGGCGATGACGGCGACGACGACGACGACGACGGCAGCGACGACGACGGCGACAATCAGCGAGGAGGACGACGACGACGATGACGGCGACGACGCCGACGATGACGACGACGACGGGAGCGACGACGATGACGACGGCGTGGGAGAATTTGTGCTTCCGTTGGTAGCGAGGCCGACAGTGTGATTCACGGTGATATCCGATCTGAGATCGGCGGTGAAGTCGGCGGTGAAGTCGGCGTTAAGCAGGACGGCGGAATTGATTGCGAGGGCGGTAGACATCCACTGTGTCGTCGATGGTGGAACCAGCCAGAACCATCGGTAGAGACCAAAGTGAAACCGATAGCAATATCCACAAACTGGGACGTCTCAGCCCACCCCTCCCTAAAAAAGCCATCCTTCTCGTACCTGGCCCCTTCCGCATCGCGGTCGCGCCACTCCATCCACTCGTTGGCCCACTCCTCCGCCTGGGCGCCGGACTTTGCGATACAAGAGCGACGCAAAGCAACGAGTGGCGAGAAACTGCGCAGAAGGACGACACGCTTCTCGATAACCCGAATACGGACCTGGCCCCCGACACCGACCCCATGGGGCCACGACCCTCGCAAGGGCTGCGCCGCAATGGAGCGGGGCCGCCACGCGGACCCTGCCACTGGCGCCTTCGGTGGAGCTCCCATGGGGCCACGAACCTCGCGAGGGGTGCGCCGAAATGGGGCGGGGCCGCCACGCGGACCCTGCCACTGGCGCCTGTAGTGGAGCTCCCCACAGGGCCACGATCCTCGCGAGGGATGCGCCGAACTGGGGCGGGGCCGCCATGCGGCTCCTGCCACTGGCGCCTTCGGCGGGGCCCCCTATGGGGCCACGATCTTCTACGGGGCGCGCCGAAACGGGGCAAGGACGCCATGCGGACCGCGCCACTGGCGCCTTCGGTGGAACTCCCTATGGGGCCACGATCCTCGCGAGGGGTGCGCCGAAATGGGGGGGGGCGCCATGCGGACTCTGCCAACGGCGCATTCGGTGGAGCTCCCTATGGGGCCACGATCCTTGCGAGGGGTGCGCCGCCAGTGGCATCGGGGACGCGTGCGGGCGCACCCACTGAAGCCTTCGGTGAAGCCTTCTCTGGGGCCACGACACGTGCGAGGGTGATGGTGACGACGACAGCGGTGATGATGACGATGACGATGACGATGACGATGACGATGATGATGATGGTGTTGACGATGGTGATGGGGATGATGACGACGGTTTTGGTGATGGTGGTGGTCGTGAAGGTTATTATGATGATGGTGATGTCGGTGATGATGACAACGACGATAGCGATGATGACGACGATGGAGATGATGACGGCCATGCTGGTGCTGATGATGATGACGATGGCGATGACAATGCCGATGGCAATGACCGCAATGATGATGATGATGCTGCCATACCAGGGGGAGGGAAAGGAGGAGCACGAGCGGGAGCGGCGGGAACGCGGGGCGCTGCATTTTCGAAACGAACACCCAACACCACAGGATGGCCACTCGTTGTCCCACTGCCTCGCCTGGGCGCCAACATCTGCGAGGCAAGAGCAACACCAAGCAATGAGTAGCGAAAAACTGCGCAGCAGAACGGGGCCCATTTCGATGATCCGAATAGGGACGTGGCCATCACAACCGGCCCGTGGCCAACTTGCCCAGAGGAGCTCTGTAGACCACGCAAACAGCACAACGTGAGAGAAGCCTATCGGAGCAGCCCTCTTTAACGACCCGCTGCCCGTCATACCGCACGTGGACGACGATGTGCTCTCTCCCTGTCTCCCTTTCTTCCCTCTGTGAAGTTTCACCCCGTCCTGGCAATCCGCGCGCAGTCCGAATGATTGCGCGTGCACTGGGGGCTTAACCGCAAGAAAACTTCCACGCCAACGCGACGACGACGACGCAGCAGCGACGACAACGACACCGACGTCGATGAAGGGATTGCTGCCCCCAGGGGGCGGGCGGAAACACCCTCAGGCGAGACGCCGACGAAGTCGACAACAACGGCGACGACGCAGACGACGACGGCGACGACGACGACGACAACGACGACGACAGCGACGACGACGACGACGACGGAAGAATTTCTGCCCCCACGGAATGACTGGAACCTCCCTGGGAAGAAGACGACGACAACGACGACAACGACGGCGACGACGCCGACGATGACAACGACGACGACGCAGGGAGCGACGACACCGACGACGGCGAAACCATTTCTGCCCCCACGGGGGAAGCAAACACTCCCTCAAAACAAATCGACGACGACGACGAGGACCCCGACAACGACGACGACAACGACGACGACGACGATGGGGACGACGACGGCAAAGACGCCGACGACGACGACGACGACGACGACGACGACGACGACCGCATCGACAACGACGACGACGACGACGGGAGGGACGACGACGACGACGACGACGGTGAGAAGATTTCTGCCCCCAGGGGGTGGGCAGAAACTCCTTCCGAAGATAACGACGACGCCGGCAGCGACAGCGACGACGCCGACGACGACGGCGACGACGACGGCGACGGCAGCGACGACGACGACGACGGCGACAATGAGCGAGGAGGACGACGACGACGAAGATGGCAACGACGCCGACGATGACGACGACGACGGGAGCGACGACTACGACGACGGTGGGAGAATTTGTGCCTCCGTCGGTAGCGAGGCCGATGGTGTGATTCACGGTGATATCCGATCTGAGATCGGTGGTGAAGTCGGTTGTGAAATCGATATGACGCAGGACGGCGGGATTGATTGCGAGAATGGTAGACACCCATTGCGGCGTCGGCGGTGGAAACGGGCCAGAGCCATCGGTAGAGAGGACAAAAGTGAGACCGATAGCAATATCCACGAACTGGGACGTTTAAGTCCACCCCCTCCCCAAAAAAAATCCTTCTCGTACTTGGCCCTTTCCGCCTCGCGGTCGCACCACCCCTTCGCCCGCGCGCCGGACTTTGCGATGCAAGAGCGACACAAAGCACCGAATGGCGAGAAACAGCGCAGAAGGACGAGAAGCTTTTCGATGACCCGAACACGGACCTGGCCCCCGACACCGACCCCATGGGGCCACGATCCGAGTAAGGGCTGCACCGAAATGGAGCGGGGCCGCCATGCGGACCCTGCCACCGGCGCCTTCGGCGGAGCTCCCATGGGGCCACGAACCTCGTGAGGGGTGCGCCAAAGTGGGGCGGGGCCGCCACGCGGGCCCTGCCACTGGCGCCTGTAGTGGAGCTCCCAACAGGGCCACGATCCTCGTGAGGGGTGCGCCGAACTGGGGGGGGGGGGGGGCGCCTTGCGGCTCCTGCCACTGGCGCCTTCGGTGGAGCTCCCTATGGGGCCACGCCCCTCTAAGGGGTGCGCCGAAATGGGGCAAGGCCGCCACGCGGACCCTGCCACTGGCGCCTTCGGTGGAACACCCTATGGGGCCACGATCCTCGCGAGGGGCGCGCCGAAATGGGCCCCGAACGACGCATGCCAGGAGGGGGGGCCCGAACGACTCCCACCACGAGGAGAGGCCCGAACGACTCACGGGCGCCGCGGCGCCGCGCCGGCTTGTCGGGCGAGGCGGCGAGGCACCGCGAGCTCTCCGGAGCCGGCCGGGCGACGGGCTGGCGCCCCCAGGACTCCTCGGTAGGAACGAGGGGGGCCCCCACTCGCTCGAGACATCCCCAAGTCCCCAACTCGGAACCGAAATCGAAAGAAAACCCATCTCGAACCTGGGGAGGGAAAAGGAGAGAGATCCCCCCACCCGACGACGCCGACGACGACAACGACGATGCTCGGCAGACTCAACGCCCCCGAACGGCCCCCGAGGACTGGAACCGCCGAGAGATCTGAACGATTTCCCCAGGATCGGACTTTTGCCCTGGGTCGACGCTTCCACGGAGTGAGTCGTTCGGGCCAGTCCACCTCTTGCCCGTCGCCCCCTTTGCCGTAGAACGCCGTCTCCTCCGTCTCCCCCTCGTTCCCCCGGCCCACCCCCCATGGTTTACTAGCCCCCCCCATCCGTCCTGCTCCACGGCCGTCTCAAAGGGCGAGAGCCCCGCCCATGCTCGCGCACCGCTCCACGTTGCAGCCCGGGCGGCCGGCGCTTTCCCAAGCACACAGTTGGCTCTCAACGTCGAGCGCCCCGAAATCTGCTGGAAGCGCCGGGGGGGGGCCCCAGTGCTCGCGGATAGCGTCATTGAGCACCTCAATTGCCTGCTCTGCGCCAGCAGGGCGAACGTCAGGTCCGAGGAGTCGCCGAAGAGCGCGCAGCCGGGACGTTCCAACGCGGGCGCAACCGAACGGCACATCGTAACCTGGGAGGAATTTGGGGGGGAGGAGGAGGAGGAGGCTCCTAGGGTGAGGGGTGGTCACAACACAGCGCAAAACAGCCGAAGGACCCAGAGGAATCCGAGAAGCCACAGGAGCTCAGAGAGCCCAGGGACGGGGGGCCGACGGAGAGATTCCCGGAACCTGAGGAGGGGGAGCTGCCGGGGGAGGAGGAGAAGGAGGAGGAAGAGGAGGGGGAGGAGGAGGAGGAGTAGGAGGAGGAGGATCGGCGGCGAGCGAGGGGGGAAGTGAGAGGGAGAAGGCCTCCTCAGAGGCTGGCGGGACTTCTGGGAAGCGCGGGGGGCTTCGAGAAGGCCCCTCTGCTTCTTCCCCGAAGACAGAGAGAGCTTCCCAGAAGGCCGGCGAGCCCCTCAGAAGCCTCGCAAGGTCGGCCCCATCTCACTTCCCTCCGGGGCCCGCCGCCGAGCAACGCCCAGACCTCCGACGTCTTGAACAAATCAGGGCGAAGGTTTGTCGTCATTTTCGGCCACCGGGGGCTTCCGGAGGGCCCCGGGGCCGTCAAAAACGACTCGGGACGAAAATCCGGCCCCGGGGGCCGCGCGAGGAAAAGCCCCCCCCCCAAGAAAAAAACATCGGAGGTCTATCAAGCGAGGGTCAGGAGGAGGTAGGTTCCCGCCACTGCTAAACCTGCGCGGCGTGCAAGAACGGCGATGAACCTCGCCGCGCAGCCGTTCGCGGGCATACCGGCGGGGCAGAGGCGCAGGAGCGCCGCGCTCCAGCCCTCCGCCTCGTCCGCCACCACGCCGCCAGACACGGACCGAGCGCCTCGAAAAGTCCCACCTGCACTGTAGGGGGCCAGTGGTCCCACGCGTTTCTTCTGCTGAACCCCCTTCTCCCCCTTCGGGGGGCCCCCCCCCAGGAATGGGCCGCCTCCGAGCCACGATGACGGATTAAGCCGAAGGCCCCTATGATACAGTCCCCACGCACGCTCGCAGCGCCGCGAGAAGCCGGCAACGACGCCAGCAAGCTGGCGCGCGCGCCGTGCACGCGCAGTCCGACTGCCGCACAACGTAGAGCGCGATCGAATAATGGACATGCGCACGTTGGCCAAATTCACGTCGCATTCCAAGACGCGCTCCACGAGCTCGGCCTTGCATGCCGCACTGTGGCCCGGCGCCCCCACGGCCCGTGCCCACCTGTCGGTCCACGTCCATGAGGCGCCAGCCGCAACAGACAGGAACTGCGCACCCCTCACACGCAATCTCTTGATTTCGGCGCACTCAGCCCCCACGCCCTTCGCAACGAGGCCCGAGGTCGCGAAAAGGAATCCAATCCACACGGGAGATTCCATCTCTCAGGGAACGCCGACCATGCAGGATGGTCGACCGAAGCCAAGCGTAGAATCTCACGGCTAAGGCCGACTCCAAGGTCGGACGTACGTTCCCAAGCCGCCGCCCAATGCCGCCCTGCAGCCGGCAGTTCCTCCGGCGGAGGCGACCATCAAGGTGGCGGTTGAGCTCAAACCTGCGGGTAATGGAACAAACCAGCAACATCTCAACCACGATGTGAGAAAGGCAGAGAACAGAGGGGCCCGAGCGACTCGCGCCAGGGAATGAGCCGTTCGGGCCCCTCCTCCTCTCCCTTCGCCTACTCCTCTTTCTCTCCCTCCTCCTCCTCCTCCTCCTCCTCCTCCTCCTCCTCCTCCTCCTCCTCTTCCGCCTCCCCTGCGCATTCCAGCTCGTCACGTCGTCGTCGTCGTCATTGTCGTCGCCGACGTCGTAATCGTCGTCATCGTCGTCGTCGACCTCGTCCTGAAACTCAGGTTGCAGACCGCGCGCCCCCACGCCATCACGGCGCCAGCGGCCGCGCCCGGTCAAGCGCTGCTCCACGCCCAGCGGCCTGGAGGGACCCACCACTTTTGATGCCGACTGGAGGCTCTCAGAGGGCCCTCCTAAGGCCCTCTAGGGCCCCGAAAGCACCGCCAGAACGGCGAACTAGAATCTAGTTCGTCCTCCTGGCGCCCGCAGTGCGCACGCGCAACGGCGATTTCGAATCGAGCTCGCCGACATGGCACCGGCTTCCCCTCAGGACCAATCTTCTTCATGATCGCCTCCATCCCTACGACGAAGAGGACATCGGAATAAGATCGGATCGGGGCAAATCGGGAAACCCTGGGACCCGACGGCTCTGGGGGATGCATCAAGGACCGCGGCTGTCCCAGAACGCCCCCGAACGCCCAGAGAGCGTTCGTCCTTCTGTTGCCCTGAAGCAGGAACTCTCCGCACGGGCCTTACAGAATTCCCCTCGCCGTCGCCATTCCCCTCGCCCTCCCCCTGAGAAGGGCCGGCAGCGCCAGCAGCCGCGGCGCGGCCGCGGCCGGGGCGCCGTCAAGGCGGCCCCGGAGCAGCGTCATTGCAGTAGCGGAGCTTGAGCCATGCTGATGGATGAGGATCGGACGACGCGGGGGAGGGAGCGCCAACGTCGGGCATGGCTGGATGGTGGAGGCGCCCCAGGGAAGACAGCACGGCAGAGGGGGTCCTGGCACAAGGAGCCCCTGTCACCAGGGCGGGGGGGGAGCAGGAAGCGAGGCCCCTCCTCCTCCTCCTCATCCCCCCCCTCATCTTTCTCCTCTTGCCTCCTCCCTCCTCCCTCCCCCCTCATCCTTCCCCCTCTTCCTGCTCCTCCTCCTCCTTTTTTGCGCGCTCCGAGCTGCAACCCGCGCCCAGTCGACGACCGAATACGGGCAAAACCTTCAAGGCCTGAGAGCAACAGGACGCGCAAAAGGGGTCAGAAAAATTGCCGATTCGCAACCTCCCCTCCCTCGCCATTTCTCCTCCTCCTCCTCGTCCCTCCTCCCTCC